TAAAGCTTCTGTTGGAGGGATATTGACACTATCAACATGCAATTCCCCCTTTATAAGCTGTGGTCTCCTCGCTGGAAAACATTTTTGCAACCTAGCACCCATCTTTGGAGCTAGGACCAGGCCCGGTGTATCTTCCCCTGAAAGCTGAAGTTACAATTGCTAGGATTAGCAATGCAGAACCATGTTGTTAAAAAAAAATACCTGTCGCTAAGAATAGCTCATCCTTTATAATTAAATAACACACCTAGTCCCTGCAAAGCCAAGGTACAGCAAGTAAAAACAGAAGTCTCTTGCTGCCTCAAAGCAACTTACAATATCCCAGTGTTTATGGGCAGTACAATCTTAGCATGGGACTATACATCAAAGCTGAGATTCACCAGCCCTATCCTGTGCTTATATACCTTTTTGATCCTTTCTTTCCTCAGATGAAAGCAAGCTGACATTTGACATCCTTTGCTCCCTGGTTTATGCTGGATTTAGAAGCAGTGTAAGTTGCAAGACAGCCTCCTTGCACAGCTGCCTCATTGTTTCAGGGACGAAACAGCCTCTGTCCTTACACACATTCAGGTTCTTGCATTTAAACATTAGGTGCTTGCGGGCTTATTGTTTCTGTTTGGGTGGTTTTTCTTTTTCAATCAAGTATTTCCCTTTTTTTTGTATTTTAATAAAGTTCCTAGTTATTGGAGACACTGAAATGATTTCTACTTACACTTGAGTATACTATCCCTGCAGATATTCTTGGCATTGTGTTCTCTGCTTTCTAATCAGGGAGCGGGAAATGGAAGTCGAATCTCAGGTACAGAGTTGTTCAGCTCTCACGGGCACTGATGAGATTGTAGATTTACTTCCATGTGATTCTGGAAACCTGCACTACAGGCACACAGAACTTCCCCACTTCTCTGTAAATTTTGGTGCTTCCTTCTAAGAGGAGCTGACACTTCACATGTGGTTAAAAAAATAGGCAGCATTGTCATTTTTGCTACTAAATAATTTAAGATCTCATGACACATTTACTCTAAGTGTATGCATTGTAAGGATGCATTTTAAACGATCAGTGAATAAAACCTCTCCTCAGAGCATTTTTAAACAGTTGTGAAAAATACAGCTTTTTAAAGAAATGTACTATCAGCATGTCCTAGAGTACTCCGATATTTTAAGTATTTTAATAGACAAACTAGCAGGTCTGGGTTTTGCTGAATGAAAAACTGCAAGTTTGGTGTTGTAGGTAGATAACAGAGGTTCTCTGTTTGCTTGGGGCAAGAAGCCATGGTTATCGATTGGCAAGATCAGGTTTTCACTGTCTCCATTACATGACAGACCACCCTGGTATGCAGCACAGGAAAAGCATGAAAGCCTAACGAGCCATGAACATGTTACACTATGGGCTATTAAGAATGATGCTGCTGTGTAATATCTGAGTGCCCCTACTTTCTCTTTGTAAAAACTGAGATCATTCCTACCTGTAGGCCTGACTCTTGGTAAAGCAGAAAAAAAAATATTTTACAGAGCAAGGATTTTGTAATGCTTCTAAAGTCTCAGTGCTTTTTTTCTGCCTCTTATGTAGCAGAAGCTTAAGAGCTTTGTTTTCTGGGGATTTTATCTCAGTCTCTTGCTTCTGAGTTACTTCTTGGTGATTCTTCTCTGTGAGATCTCTGTGCTTGGCTGCAGATGAGGCACTGCGATTCAGATGTTATTTGAGAGCTAAGGAAAAGCAGCTGGGCAGGTGGAGCAAAGGGAGTGAACAGAATGTGCTGGAAACTTCCAGCACTGTTTTTTTTAGGGGCACAAAAATTATACCAACACTTTTCAGCCACTGCAGTAAATTTAATGGGAGGCTGGTGAGGGAGGGCAGCAGGAGAATAAACAAACATAGACAAGGAAGCAAAACGTGGCAGCCAGTCCCTCACCTGCCTGCCTGCATCTCGCAGCTGGGAAAGCTCTGCAGCAGGGTTGGCCTTGGGCAGAGAGGAGCACAAAGTAGCTCACCAGCTGAGAAATGCACACAGTGACTTCTCCTCCCTCTCCTCACCCTTTTCCCATTAGGCAAGAGGAGGAGAGATTTTCCAGGCTAAAGAGAATAATACAGTGACTATTAATAATATCTTCTTCTGCCAGCTAAGAATCTCAAAGCATTTCACACCCATGAATTAATCCCTGCACAAGTCTGGTGAGGTAGGGACAGTCAGTGTCATTATCCTTGCTTTAAAGCACAGAATTTTGAGGATGATCATCTGGCTGCCAAAGCAGGCAGCTGTTTTTCCTACCCCAATCCAGGGGGTAGGTATTCTCCCAGGGATCAGCTGTACCAGCCTGCTACATGTCCGGCACTTCTTCAGACCTTGCTTTTCAGAGACCCTTGTGTCCCCCATGTTTTTGCAGGCACTGGTGTGCTGTGCTACCCCCTTCTCCTCACCTCCAGTCTTTATCCACAAGAGGTTTCTCCATGGGCTCAGACAGAGCCCAGGCAAGGACTGCCAGGATATCCTCGTCACTGCATATTATTTGTTTCTCTCCATGCCCATCAAATAAGGACACAGATAAGCTTCTTCCCTCTCCTGCCCATCGCTCAGGGCTCCAGAGCAGTCACCCTCTGTGCATCCCACTACAAACACTGCTTCTGCGACAAGGTTGAGGGGAGAGAGCCCTAATGCGTCTCCCCTCGGTGCTGCCACTGCCGTACTCACCATCTCATTGTAGGCATCTCTGCTGAGCCGGGGGGTCAGTTTGATGGTCCCCATAAAGACGAAAAAGAGCCCCAGGGCCACCGAGAGAGCGACGATAGTGATAGTCCTGGGAGATGCCATGGAGCTGCAGGGAATCGGTCCTGGGAGCTGGTCCTAGCGAGGCCTTCTGGCTCTGGCTGCGAGCCCGGGCAGGAGGTAGTCAGTCACCATTGAAGGAGATGAGGAATAAAGCTGCAGAGGCAGCGAGGATGACAGCGGGGGGGAATTCAGCCTCCTCCACTCAGCAACCTCCGGGTCCTAGTGCCCCTCAGCCATGCGGCCCGAGCCGGGCAGCTCTGGCACCTGCCGAGCGATGAGCATCCCCACCGCTCCGACCAGTAAGTCATCCTCTGTTTCCTTGCACGTTCCATAAATTACCCACAGAAAGCTGAAACTGAGCCAGTTGTAGGGATGCGGGATGGCAGCCAAACCTATAGCATAGTTGCTGACTAGTGGGAAAACGAGGACATGTTAGCAGAGGGCAGAGGAGTAACCTGCTATGGAGGAAAAGTGGTCGGATGTCTCTTGTACATAGGCAGCTTCCAGTTTCAACACTAATACACAGCAAATGACATATTCCTTAATATATTTGCCCCAGAAAAATCAAAAAAGATGTCTTGCCCCTCTGGCTCTCCAGGAATCTGATGCCCAAAAGAGATGGTGAGGCCACTGTGCCACCTTCCCTCATTGCAGGTAAAACCTGTCCTGTACGTTCAGCTCTCCAGAGACTAGTGGAAAGGTTTCCTCTATTACTTTCTGATTTAAATTTATTATGCCTGCCCCTCTAATTTGCAACAAATTTATTTTTGACAAAAGCATAGCCAGGCTGAGCAGAAATCCATTCAGATCTCGCAGCAAGAAGCCAAGGTATAATTATACAAGACAGAACTAATGGAAAACTGCATCCCTCGCTATAAACTGAAAACAAGAGGCTGTAACAGTGTGCAAAAATCTTACACTCATGGGATAGTACAAGACGGACACTTCCTATGCCTGTCAGGACTCTCCCCATCACCTCCCTTTCTGGTGTAGTAAGTCTCAAGTCCTAAACCCATGTATTTTAAGCCCCCATGGCTTGAGAACTGGTGGTTGTTGTTATTATTCCAGTCTCAGGGTTCCTTAGGACTGGAGTTAAAAGTCTGAAAAATACAGGCAGCTCTCCCTGTTTCCTTGCAAGTTTATCAGCCTTGATTCACCCAAATCAGATAGGGAACTCCTCTTTCAGAGGAAAGAGTCAAATTTAACAGCCTGACTGCAGAAATGCGTTCTTCTGCCAGTCTGGCCTAATAGGCCAGGATAGACCAAAAGGTAACTTCAATGCAACATAACAGTAAAAATTAGAAAATAAAAATAAAAGGACCCCCTCAAAACAACATAGAGTTCACAAAACACAAGGGAACTGTGCTCATTCAGACCTACCTCCAGGTTGTAGCAGCTCCATCTTTTGAGGAGCTGGAGAGAACTTCATGTAACATTGAGATTCACAGCTTGCCAGTCAGTGAGCATGGCAGGACAGATACAAAACACACCAAATTTTTGAATTAGCTATTGCAGAGCAACCTGATGAGGAAATAACTTGTTGCTGCTGACATTTTCACAGGGCACTTCATATTTAGGTATCAGCAAGCATTAGTGGAGAAGGGGGAGGCAGGTGTGGAAGGAGAGACATTGAAATCTCTTCCCTCTTCATTTCATTTTATACAAAAATCTTTCTCATTGCCTCCAACTTATCTACATGATTGAGAGCGATTCAATATTGGTTTTGGAAGTTTATACAGGAAATATTTCCCTGACCCCAAAAGTCAACATTTTCCCAGTGAAGATGAGGATTTCTAGTTCCTACAGTTTCTTCATAGCAAGTTCACTATCAACTTGAAAAACACCTGAAATATCCTTGAAGCAAGCAGAGAACTAATGGCACGGCAGTATTAAAAAATACAGTGGATTTTAGTACTTTGTATTCACATGTTGATGGTGAAAACCCACAATACCAGGGAGAGGGTATTTTCCAGGTTGCTTTGACTAGCAGCCCAAAAAGAGGTTTGCAGGAGAGGAAAGGGTGATGAAATGCTACAGAGAACATTTTCACCCCAAAAATCCAAGTTTCCTTACAAAGCAGTGTAGTAAGGCAACCCAAAATAAGAGCAAAAGCAAAATTATTTATTTTTATAAAACTTCCAAGAAAATAAGTTAAAATCCTAACTACATCGACTCCAGTCTTCAGGAGAGTAGGAGGTTCCTTTCCAAGCTCTCAGAGCTGGCATACCTGCCTCCTTGTCAGCGGGTGAACAGCAGCACCAGCTCACAATGAGCAGTATGAGGAAACATGTCAAAAGGTATAGCCAACATGGGGGCAAATGGCTCTCCTGCCAGTTTCTTCCCTTGGTCAGGTGGGCAGCACAGCCTGTGGAAAGCAAAGAGAGCATCCTTTAGACCAGTAGCAGAAGCCTTCCCACCATTATTGGTAGCACAATAGCACAGAGGATGCACTAAGGAGGTATCATGTGTTTGGCTAACATCCCTCAGAGCCTGCAGCTAACACTGGCTGAGGTCTGGAACCATCAACACTGAATCCCAAACCAGCTCTGAAAACCTCATGGACAAGCTGAGGAGTCACTGGCAGGTTAAAAGCTCCCTTGCTCACAAGCCATCCCAGCTGAAAGACACTTAATACCGTTAGGAAATAATCCTAAATTTTGTGCTACCCTTATTGGTTACCTGCAGACACATTTATCACCTACAAACAGGCCTGCCACAGATAAAGACTTAGCTATATGTTTAACCCTAAGGAGGTCACTAAGCCCCTTGGCTTCACTTCATTGGTTAGGGGCCAACCTTCCTGCAGTAAACTCAGCAGACTCCATATCCCATATGCAGATGTGTTGTTTTGTTGGAGAAGGATGCACAATGCCATTGCAGCATGTTTGCATAATTTTCTGTTTCTTACTGATGCACTAAAGCATCCTGCTGGAACATAAAACCTAAAGAATACCTGCTACCTTAAACCAGCGAGTGCAGCTTGCAGGTAAACCCAAAGTAACGCAGAAGCATAAACCACTTCGGACCGTGCACTGACCAGTCCTGGATCACACCAGATCGCAGAACTCACCCAGTGAAATTAAGTCGCAACAAAAACCTTCCTAAGCTAAGGTCAAATATTTATGTCCTTGTCTGGACATAATAGGGTCTGCCACTAAGGTCAGTGGAAAGGAAGAGAGGAGAGTGCTCACTCGAGAAAGTTCCTCATGGCTTCACCCTCTGGCTTGCAGGAGATGTAGAGCAGCCTTCGGATGGACGCGCAGTTTCGGATGGCTCGCACAACCCTGTAATCTGCAAAAACAGATACCGTGCTTTCCTAGTGACACACCACCACCGTGAGCTCTCCATAAGGAAGGATTGCACAGCAAGCATCACACAACTGCACTGAACTCTCAAAAATATAGGGGAAAAAAGAATATACACATTTTGCCATGTCCTGTCTCAGATGCAGGCTCTTAGGAGGCCAGGGATGTGACCCATGCTGCTAACAGCTCAGCTGATTTGGCAGGGTAGAACGGTGGGAGAAACACCTCTGCTTCCCAGGGGGGTGAAGGAGGAGAGAAAAATTGCTACTTAATTAAGCAGAGGCATGTAAAACCTTCCACACACACTTGTGAGACTGCATCTGGGCACCAGGGCCAGTTTGGGACTTCCCAGTACACACTAGAGTGAATCCAGCGGAGACCACCAAGACAGTTAGAGGGCCGGGGCACAGCACGCATGAGGAGAGTGGGTGGGCTGGGGTTATTCAGTCTGGGGAAGACAAGGTGAGCAAGGATCCACTTGCTATCTTCAGGGGCCTCACAGGGGATTACAGAGAAGATGGAGCCAAAATCTTCTCAGAGGGCCACGAGAAGAGGATGAGAGGCAACAGATGCACTGCAGCAAGGGGAAATTCTGATTAAATATATTACAGAAAACATTTTCAGGAGAGGGTATCCACCCTTGGACACATTCAAACCTCAACTGGGCTTTATAGCCCTGTGCAACCTATACAACTCTGAAGCTGGCCTTGCTTTAGTTGGGAGATTGCACCACAGACCTCCAGAGGCTCCTTCTCTCCTAAATAATTCTGTGAGCCTATGAAAAATGGAAAAAAGACTGGAGCTGTCTGCTTTAAAGAGAAAGCATGATAAAAGCACTGAGAACAGCAGACTCCATGGGATTTCAGCTGCTGTCAGCAACAAGGTAAGAAACTAGAGACTAAGTCAGCAGAGGGTTTGGAGCCAGTATAACAGGTCTCACAGAACTTGTTCAAAATTCTGTTTTCAAGATGAAAATAAATAGCATATTCTCTCACGGAGCCCAGCCCGAGATGGGTTCACCACAGCAACAAGGGGTCGGGCATCCTCCCACGATGACAGGAGTCGTGGTAACACAGCCTCTGCCCTTCCACTGTGAAACTCACAGTTTGAAATTCCTGTGAAGCAAAAAGCAACCACATGAACTAAGAAGAGTCAGTCTCACCAGACATTAGGTATAACATGGAAGTACTGGCCTTTGTGGCGTGGATGTAACTTGTTAGGATCCCTCCGCTCACTTCTGCTTCTGATTTTTCAGAGGTTAGTTTGAAACTTTCTGCCACGGCGAGTTCGAACTCACCATTGAATGCTGCATTCCACCTGGCATCCTCTATTGCCTTCTCCACCACCTCGATACCAATAATCTTGGCCACTTGGTGAGCCAGAGAGAGGCCAATTGTGCCTGGAAACGAAGGAAGCAAAAATACTCCGTACATCCATGCTGAAGAAACAAGCCTTTAGATGGTGGGGATCATTTTTGGCACACAAAGCACCAGCCCTGGGTGCCAGGCTCACACAGCCACCTCTCACCCGTTCCACAGCAGATGTCGAGGAGGATGGTGTCCCTACCAGCCTGACTCAGCTCCCCGACCGCCTGGTACAGAACTTCTGCTCCACCCGAGTTTACTTGGAAAAAGGCATCTGGAGAGATGCAAAACTTCAGGCCGAGGACTTCTTCAAAGATGTGCGGTTCTCCGTGAAGGAGCTGGAAGGGGGACTGCTCATGTGAGCAGCGTGTCATGGTGCTAGCAGAGCACACAAAAACCAGCTGTTAGAAGGCAGCAGAGGCAACCGATTTCCATTTCCATTCCTGGGGTGCTCATGTGCAGGGGATGATGGTTCCTCCACACACACACTTTTATTTCATGTGAGCTTTTCAACAGAATCAAAGGATTTTGGTTCTTTGTAAGGAATCTGTAACTTGCACAGCCTAGAATTCATTAAAAGGATCCAAATGACTTCACAGAAGGCAGAAGTCCTAGGGTTTGTTCCCCAGTTTTGCTGCTAATGTGATTTAATGTCTTGGGAAAGTCACTGTGGGGTTTTTTTTTTTCTTTAGTTTCCCAGGCTCGTAACTCCCATAAGGTAGAGCCATAATGTATTCAAGTATTTCAGGTCTGGAAAAACTAAAGATGTGGCCATCTTAAAACCACACCTGCAAAAGGCATCCAAATATCTGTCATTCTCTTCAAGCACTCCCTGAACTGGTAGAATTTTAATTTGATCAGAGAGGGGGAAGAAAAAGGAGGTGGCTTTGTTTCCACTCCTTCCCTGTGTCAAGACATATACCTCTCTTGGAAATAAAGTGAGGTCAAGGCACAGACTTTTCCAGGTCCACACGTGAAGAACTCCTTAAGCAATGCTTTCTGAGTAGCCAGTGCCTCCTGTCAAGAGTAAGAAAGGAAAACCTGGCTCTTTAGGTAATCTCATTAGACACCTCTCCTCAGTGATAACCCAGCGAGCTCAGGTCAGCCAAATACCTGATGTGCCTCTTGCCAGGCGCCCTGTCCTCCATGTACTCACCTGGCCCAGCTCCTGGGGGTGGAAGGTGATGATAGCCATGGTGTGGCCATGGCTGGTGGTGCGCACCACGAGCTCCCGCCAGTGTCCGCCTTCGTGGAAGAGGATGCAGGGGTCCAGGGGGGAGTGACGGATGAACTCCTCGTAGCACTGAGCGGTGGGGAAACGGCACTTGTAGTACAGCAAAGAACAACTGCCCTGGTCTTAGCATAACTCTGTGCACCCCAAAAGGGGGGCCCTTCAACCAGTATCATCTACTTTTTCTGTTTGATTTCAATACACTAAGTGAAAGATCTCTCCAAATTCTTGAAAGACAAGACATTTTAATAATTTCAGTTTGTGATTCTTAAGTATTTTAATAGATTGGCAGGAATTCATTGTCACTTTAACTTCATTCTTTGGGACAGTTTAGAGGCTGCAACATTAACATGCAAGTTTTTAAAAAAAAATTTATCCATCAACCAGAGTCAGGCCTGAAACTTTTCAGAACATGAAAATGGACTTGAAAACACAGCGTAACTAAAATTACAATGTTCTCCCAAATAAGAGTTATGGCAGTCCCTCTATTCCACAGTCTAGGAACAGACATTACACATATATTTACCTGGGCTACTTGTTTGTGTTTTGGGGGTATGTTCTCCATGTGGTTGGCTTTCACACAGACAATATTTCTTGCTGGAGAGAGACAGACAGGTATTTAATTGTTTTGTTTCAGGGCACATAAACCACTGTAGCATCTGAGATGATAAACTGTGGAGAGGCATTTCCCCTGAATTCTCCCACTGTACAAAAAAAGGAAGAAAAAAGAAACTGGTATCTAAGTGCCTCACTAAATCCTGTGATATTCTGTGTACCCGCAGTCTGCAGGACCTGCCAGAATTCCCTTTGCCAGTGGTTACTGTCACTAACTTCCATGAAGAGTTTGGAGCTCTGGGAGCTTTTTAAGTGTCCTCTAGCAACTCCCACAGGAGCCATTGCACCGTTCTTAAACGAAGGGAGCCAGAGCAGAGCAAGCTGGTTTTGTAACTGGAGAATAATGGTGTGGGCTTACAGCAGCAAAGCAGTTTAGGTTGCCTGGAAGACGGCATTCCCACTTCAGTTCTCAAATGCTAAACTTCTGCTGTCAGAGGTAAAATGCACCCACAGAATTATTTTTTCAATGACAAAAGTACACAGCAATCACCCCATCGCCTCTTGCTATGGATGCTGACAGGCAAAACCTAGTATTGATGGTATGAACAAGTTCTGCCCTCAGCAGCTTGCACAGATCACAGAGCTCACATTGTTCAAAACCAAACTGCCTTACACATCCCAAACGCTCCAACATTGCTCTGCTGCCTATGGACATGCACACCCTCCAATGCTCTCCCTGCTCAGCAGAGACTCCTGAAGCACACCAAAAACACGGCAACGGCATAATTAAGAATAACAAAGATAAATCCTGGAGGGGCTACTACCACAGCTGTCATCCTTTACTGGTGTATTTAGCAAATTAGAAGCTGGTGTTTCTTAAGGAGCTAATGAACTGAGGTTTTAAAATTGCTGCCCTGGACTTGGTGGTGTTTCTGTTGGCATACCCCAGGATTCAGGCTTCTGACTCGGGTGGAGGCTGTCACAGCAGAGCCTCGCCCCAACCCCAACCCAGCCCACCCCAGCAGTCTGCTACCCAGCTCCTTGTCCTGCACTGACCTCTGCCAGTTCCCACATACAACCCCACGGTTTTGGGGTTTCCATCTGGTCCTCGGTTCACAGAAAAAGTAGATTTGTTTCGGTAGCCATTAATGATGGGCTGAGGGAGAAAAGAAAGAAAAGTAAAGCCTTGGATTAAATTAAAAAGTAATGGAGGAAAGCCAAAACCCAGCCTGGTTGTTCTGTTGGCAACACAGGAAGATATACATGAATGTGCAAGACACGGAAGGAGAGCTTGTGCGCGAGACCCCCAGTACCTCCCCTTGGGAAGAAGAAATGGCTCTCTGTGACAGAATGGTGACAGGTTTATCAGGGAAGGCTTGGGCACAAAAAAGTTCCTCATCACTGGGCTTGTTTCACTCTCTGGCAGTCACAGGCTGCAAAGCAGAAGCTAGCAAGGACTGCGATGGACACATTCTCTGCAACCAAGTAACCCCACCGTGAGACTCTTTGGGAGCCAAGTGAGAGACTGTGAGTGGCTCAGAGGGGACAGTGTTCCCACGGGATACTCACTGAAGGGACTACAGGCCGGAGAGGACAGCAGAGTCCACCAGGTTTCTGCGTATCTATGCCCACCTCCTCAAGACGAGATGCCAGCATCTGCAAAATCTTCCTCTGGCTCTCATACTTCACCTGCAGAGGAATCCTAAGCCAGAAACACTCTCACAGGACCACACAACGGTGGGCAGCTCTTCATCACCCACCTTTGGGAAGGCCAACAGGAGGTAATACTGCAAGTGGGATATAGCCCCAGAGGAACTCTGCCTTTCTGATTACTGCAGCTGCTTGGAGTAATGGGGAGAGAGAGAAATCCTGTGTCTGTGGTCCCCAAACGCTGGCCTGGAACACTTGGTCCAACCTGAAGCCCCGGTGAACCAGCTGACCCACACTGGACAGGACCACTGTGCCAGTGCCCATCCTCTGTGCTGTTGGTGATCATACACACAACCCACAGGGAACCTCCCAGTTCTGTCCTTGTGCTGCTTTGGCTGAAACAGAACTATTTCTG